TGTCTGAACCCCTCAACCCTGAGCGTTTGTGAATATTCTGATCGCTGATCACTTATAAGTTGGTATCAAAAACAATATTTGATACTTTCTAAAAGAAATACATTTTGGTAAATATTTTCCCGCAAAAAGCAAGGCTCCCTTCATTTCAGGGTTACCTCTGAGGTTAAAATGGTTATCAGAGATATGTGTATTTTCTAACTTCTGAATTAATCTTCCAGAAGAATAAACTCGAACCTTGTAAAGAAAGCTACATAGACAAGAGCTTCATAAGCCAAACACATGAACAGAAGTTGAATCCAAAGACTGTAATTACCAGTTTTAAAAGTCGGCCGGGCACGGTGGCTCACGCCTGTAATCCCAGCACTTTAGGAGGCTGAGGCAGGTGGATCATGAGGTCAGGAGATTGAGACCACCCTGGCTAACATGGCAAAACCCAGTCTCAACTAAAAATACAAAAAATTGGCCAGTCATGGTGGCGGGCGCCTGTAGTACCAGCTACTGGGGAGGCTGAGGCAGGAGAATGGCGGGAACCCGGGAGGCGGAGCTTACAGTGAGCTGAGATGGCGCCACTGCACTCCAGCCTGGGAAAAAGAGTGAGACTCCGCCTCAAAAAAAAAGAAAAACAAAGTCATGTTACTGGCTTATGCATTATGTACATTCAGTCCTTACAGTAAAAGCAATGCTAAATTAGTGCTTAACCTCTAACATACTATAAAATTCAAAATAAATCCTAAAGTCAATACCATCAATTTCCACCAAATAAATACGCACTTTCTCTTCAAAGGTTCTATTAGACTCTGATAGAACTTCTTGTTGAGAAATACATTATTTAATGAATGCTAACTCACATCTCCCTTTGTCCCAACAGAGACTATAAAAGTGTCCTTTATTTCTTTATACATGATTATAATACTAACCCACTTTGCAAACATTTTAGAATAATTATTCTATTGTAATCAAACCCCTTTTATCACATGCTGATCCATCCAGAGTCTATTATGCTACTATCCTCAGGACAAACTGCAAAAAGTTCCAAGATTTCTCTCTAGGAAAACAAACAGCCAATAGCCAAAGACCAAACTGACTAGAATATAGGGCCCTCTGCCTGAATATTTTCAGACCAGGGCAATAAATACTGTGAATCTATTTATATGTTAAAGCCAACCAGTCATTCACTATGTGCAAATGGCTGTTTAATTATTAAACAAGCAATTTCCCTTAAATAGGTTTGTTATAATGTTTAGACTACAAAGACGAAGAATACTGCTTGTCTACTGGCCATGTTACTTTCAAAAAGTAACATCTCAATGAGATTAAAATATACACAAATACCTGTTCACATTCCGTCCTCTGTATTCTCAACTCTCCATGCTACTAAGTATAAACTTCTGACTGTAACTCTCCTAGTTTTCTGTTTACAAAAGACAAGATCCATAACATCACCCAACAACCAGGGTCCAAGTAAACTTCTTACCATAATAAATATCTTAAACATCAAATTCTTTTACTTCTAGATGAGCCAGCTTTCTTATTCTTATTAGCTAATAAGCAGCACATCTTCTGTTTATGTTTACCTGAGAAAGACACCTACGCAGGACAGAAATTTGTAATGTACCCCTCACGCTGCAACTGGAGCTTGCCTATAGAAATCACTAGAACTGAGAGTAGTGTGGAGGACTGAGTAGGGAGTTCAAGGAAGATGAAACACAAACGAGTCACTCTGATACAAAAACTCCAACATGACTTCTCTGCGGTTATTTTGGAAGTCAGACTGGCGCCTTTCTAGGTGCAGGAGACACTATCAGATGTCTGCTGTGCCTGCCCAGAAAGGAAGGTCGTGACTCTTCTATTTTGTTCTTGCTCTCCAGCCACAGAGGAGGATACCTGAGTGAATTAGGCCAGTAAGATGCTCTCCTTGGGAATTCAGAACTGACTAAAACAGTAGTCTCTGACTGGATTAGTCCCTGGACAGTGAAATTATTCAGGCACTGTGCCACAGTCACCCTTCCCATGTGCACTTAGTGGCACAAAAAGCCACTCTCGGGTATAGAGCGAAGAAGGTGCAGAGAGAAGTCCCTGGGTTCCCAGGAGTCTTCCACTTTTGTTCCCTGTTATTTATGAGGCCTGGCTCCATTCTCTGGCTTCTAAATGAGAGGTACCTATCTCCCTACAACAAACTCACTCACTCACTCGCTCGCTCACTCACTCACTCACTCACTCACTCACTCACTCATTCATTCATTCATTCTTCACTCAAGAGTCTGTTTCTTGAAGCCAAAGAGTCCAAATTTAATGTAACAGTTAAACAGGATACTGACCACTCTGATTTTGGATTTCATAAAAACTGCTGAGAAACAAATGTTACTTTGTATTGAAAATTAACCAGTAGTTATTCACTGGCCATATGAAAGAAACCTTACTATGATGACAAAAGCAATACACCAAACACAGAGTTTACAGTTTAGGCAGAGACATTAGGAAGGTCAATTAAGAAAGGGAAAATAGAGCCCAGGCGTGGAGGCTTACGTCTGTAATCCCAGCACTCTGGAAGGCTGAAGCGGGAGGATCACAAGGTCAGGAGATCGAGGCCATCCTGGCTAACACGGTGAAACCCCGTCTCTACTAAAAATACAAAAAATTAGCTGGGCATGGTGGCGGGCGCCTGTAATCCCAGCTACTCAGGAGGCTGAGGCAGGAGAATTGCTTGAACCCAGGAGGCGGAGGTTGCAGTGAGCCGAGATCATGCCACTGTACTCCAGCCTGGGCAACAGAGCAAGACTCCATCTCAAAAAATAAATAAATAGATAAACCAAATAAAAAAATTTTTAAAAAAGGAGAAAACGGAAAATCAATAATACTACGTAATGTTTATTGAGTAGTTACTATGTGCCAGGAATTGTTCTAAGTTCTTCAGATTAGTATTAACTCAATTAACTCCCCAAAATAAGCACCTAATCTATAAAGTAGGAACTAGTATTATCCTATTTTTAGATGAAAAAAAAACAAGTCACAGAGAAATTAACCTGCCCAAAGTTACTAAGCATCTGATTCAGAGCCCACAATTTTAACCACTGTATCTGCCACCTCTCTCCTAAGAAGGAAAGGCAGAGGGAGCAGAAAGTCCAAAGATAGCAAGGCTTCTTCATCCTAGCTATCTGAAATTTAGTAAAAATAACAATAATCTAGCAAACCAATGTCTGATTTGTATCAAAAAAATAACACCTGTGAGCCAAGAAACAGAGTTGTTCTAAAGGATGATAGCTACTCTCAAACATATTTGCTTAGTATCCATTTATAAAATAAAGTTACGAAATAAACTAGAACAGTCTTGTTTCGCTTTTATTTTTATTTTTAGAGTAAGAAAACTGGATAAACTCTACGAACTACTATAAATTATAACTGGCAGACGGGGAAGAGCAAGAAGCAGAACTAAGAACTCCAGTAGTACAATTTTATGTAGATTTCATTCCACTGGCTTCACATAACCTAACAGTGTAAACAGCATCTCTGTATTGCAGCACAGAATAATAACTGAAGCTCAAAATGCTATACTCCGTCTAAAGGCAGGTAAGGGTTTAATTCAAAACTGAGTAAGAAAGAACACCAGTGTTTATTAAAGGTATTACTGATATACACTCCAAAAGTACTAAGTACTATAGAATTCAAAACTTTTCCTCCTTGGTTTTAACAATTTTAACTATTCAGCAATATCGTATCAGTTGTTTGTTTGTTTTAAACATCTCTCATGCCTCTATTTGTAAAACATCTGGTTCCTCCTTTATTTTTTATTTAGTTATGCTTCATCTCTTTAATATAGTTATGATTTTTTATCTTTTTACATAAAGTATATGTACAATATATAAATAAATTTTTATTTTTCAACTTCTCTTGGAGGCACAATTTTTTTTCCCTAAATTGTTGCTGTTTAATTGCCATTCATAGCTAGAACGTTCATGCTTGAAAACTTGCCACAATCCCAACTTTAAACTTTCACCAGTTAACAAAGACACAAAATTGAATATTCAAGCAATGCTTTTACTACTTCTAGGCTGTTTCCTTGCTATCTTTAACCGTATCTTAGCTTTAGCTGGCCTGTACTATCACAGTTGTCCTCTTTCATACAATGCTTCCTTCCACCAACATAAAAATGAAACAGAGGAGTAAACTAATCAATTTTTCAGTTAATTTGTGTCTTGACGCTAGAATAGAAAATAAGATTCAGGCCGGGCATGGTGGCTCACGCCTGTAATCCCTTTGCGAGGCCGAGGCGGGCAGATCACGAGGTCAGGAGATCAAGACCATCCTGGCTCACACGGTGAAACCCCATCTCTACTAAAAATTAAAAAAATAAAAAAAATTAGCCGGGCACAGTGGCGGGCGCCTGTAGTCCCAGCTACTCGGGAGGCTGAGGCAGGAGAATGGCATGAACCCAGGAGGCAAAGCTTGCAGTGAGCCAAGATCGCACCACTGCACTCCAGCCTGGGTGACAGAGTGACTCCATTTCAAAAAAGAAAAAGAAAGGAAGATTCAAAAGCAAGCACTGTTCTCACTTAGGATCTCATTAGATATTACTATTTTCAATTCATATCACCATATCTTATCAGAATTTTTCCCTTAGATGAAAGATCCTGGTTGGTCTGGTTTTGGTATCAACTAAAACAAGTTATTCAGGTCCACAGTTCATTTAAATTAACATCTGGAATATTAGCTCCTATAGACACAAAACAGAGAAATTAAAGTACTTTATAATTTCTTTATTCACAACCACTAATGATTAGGTAGACAATAAAGTCATTTTTAATTTGAAAACCTTTTTTTTTTAAAAAAAAAAAAACAAACACGTATCGTAGCATATCATGGTAAAAATGATAAAACGGTAATTGATACATATTAACATATGTTAATGAGCATTATATTTGATCCAGAAATTTAAGAACTATTTCCTTGACAAAAAAGAAAGTGGCAGAATTTAAATAGTAATAAGAAACTTGTACACTTACCAGCTTCTCAATTTCTGATTCAAGATTCTGTATACAGTCAAGTTTTCTCTTGCGACAGCGCTGTGCAGCAATTCTGTTTTTACTTCTTCTTCGAATATCATGGATACAATCCAGCTGTTCTGGAGTAAGCTTGTGCATTTTCAACAAGGACTGAAAATCATTTCGAGAGAGTGAAATTATCCGTTGTGCATTGAATGGCAGCTTTACCTAGAATATGAAATAAAGATTACTAATTATTGCTGTATTTTATAATTATATCCAAACCTAGGAAGATGAAGGTATACATCTAGGTTTTTCAGAGAACTTACTTTACATTAAAGAAAACATAGGCCTCTATTCCCAATTTCTATATAATCAATTATAATAAACACTGATAATCTAATTTGTATTTATGGTCTATTTCAAAAGACAAATACATTAAGCAGATTTTTTTTTCAGCAAATCAAACATTAACACAAATACTGACATGTAAAATGTAAACACAATTTTATTTTACTAAATAAACATTTTTTTTACTTTTTTTACTTTATTTTACTTTATTTTTGCATGTTAATACAGACTTTTTACTCAACCCAAAAATAAAACCTATTTTATTTTTTGAATGAAATGACTATGCAGCATTGGTTTTATGTTAGTATAATTATGCTACTAATTTCTACAGCATTTCAGAAAATTTATTTTTCTATCAAGAAAATGATAGCCTCACATAAATCACTCTAATACATGTCTCTTGCCAATACAAAAAAAGTTAGAAAAGTTTTATAACTATGTTAAAGTCATTTCAACATACCTAAATTTGGAAAAAGAAAATCTTTTCTAAAACAAAATTGTGTGGGTTTAATTATATTATCAAAAATGTAAATGAAACACTGGTCAGTCTGGCAACCTACTTAGCTTACCTTTTAAGCTTATAGATATTTGTTACATAAAATGTTTAAAAATTTTTTAAATGTTTTATTTTTAATATTCTTTTTGTAGTAATTCCAAATGCTACATTTATAATGTCATAAAAGTCTATATATAACCCAAACATACATACTACTTCTTAATCACCAATCCATCTCCTTCCAAAGCCAAGATTTTTTTTTTTTTTTAAGCCTCTTTCAAAAGCCGTGTCATCTAACAGCTACGAAACCAAAGAAAATGCCAAAGAATGGGATGCGGAGAAATTGGAATCATTGTACACCTGTGGGAAAATAGTGCAGCTGCCATGGAAAATGGTATGGAGGTTCCTCAAACCATTAAAAATCATAGCACTGTATGTCCCAGCAATCTTACTCCCAGGTATTTATCCAAAAGAATTGCAATCAGCATCTCAAAGAGATATCTGCACTCATCTACACATATTCTTTTTTTTGGAGACAGGATCTCTGTCATGCAGGAGTACAGTGGTGAAATCACGGCTCACTGCAGCCTCAACCTCCTGGGCTCAAGCGATCCTCTCACCTCAGCTTCCTAAGTAGCTGGGGCTACAGGCACATGCCACCATGACTCGCTGATTTTTGTATTTTTTGTAGAGACAGGGTTTCACCATGTTGCCCAAGCTGATCTGAAACTCCTGGGCTCAGGCAATCCACCCACCTCACCCTTCCAAGGTGCTGGGATTACAGTCATGAGCCACTGTGCCCAGTCTGCACTCCCATCTATATTCATTACTGCATTATTCACAATAGCCACGATATGGAAACAACCTCAATGTCCATGGATGGATGAATGGATAAAGAAAATGTGGTGTACATACATAAAGGAATACCATTCAGCCTGATAAAAAGAAGGAAATCCTGCCATTTGCTAAAATATGGAGAACCTGGAAGGCATCATGCTAAGTGAAATAAGCCAGACACAGAGGAGAGTAAATCCAACATGATTTCACTTATACAAAGTAGACAGAACAGTCAAACTCATAGAAACAGAGAGTAGAATGGTGGTTGCCAGGGTCTGAGAAGAGGGAAAAAAGGGGGAATTGCAATTGGATGGGTTAAGTTTCAGCTACAAAAGAATAAGTTACAGAGATCTGCTGTAGAATATCATGCTTATACTTAACAATACTGCATCATGCACTTAAAAATTTATTATAAGGGTAGATTCTGTGGTAAGTATTCTTATCACAATAAAAAAAAAATAAAGCCCAAGAAAGGGGAAAAAAATGCAATGGATAAAATAGAAAAATAATTTTTAAAAAGAATGTAAATTGCGATTATAAAGAGAAAAGTCAACTATTGAAAGGCAAACAAAATCATATAAAACATAAAAACAAAAAAAAAGAAAAAACATTTTAAATAATATATTTTTGGAAGGAACAGGCCCTTATTATCGGACTTATAAGTAATATTTTACTGAAGGGAGCTAACAAATACAAACTTTTATGTACAGAATACACAAATCAAGCTTGTTTTGATCATACCAGCTACGTGTAATTCATGCTAAATTAAGACACTCAAAATTAAGACACTCATCAATAGCTGAAATGGCCAAAGGAAAATTTAAAAATCAATGGCCATGAAAAACTAGATCCAATAAACTTTACTCCACTAGAAGCCACATTCCTACAACTAATCACTGTTAAACCATTGCTCAGGGACATGTCCCAGGTCTAGAGGTTCTTGTTGGCAATGAGCAAGATTGAATATATGCTGCATTTTTCCGGGAGTTATCATGTAATGAGCATAGAATCATTATTCTTTTCCGTCTTGTGGCATGGCATTTGATTTAAACAATTAAATGGCCGACATGTGAACACAGCCAATGTGTGAACCTACTTTATGGTTAATACATCTACTGGAAATAAACGAACACAGAAGTTCTTCAAACTTCATCTATCTCTTTTAGTATTTATCACAGTCTTTTTAAAATTGTTTTTGAGACAGTCTTGCTCTGTCTCCTAGGCTGGAGTGCAATGGCACAAACCTGGCTCACTGCAACCTCTGCCTCCCACATTCAAGTGCTTCTCCTGCCTCAGCCTCCCGAGTAGCTGGGATTACAGGCACAGGCACCCGTCGCCACGCCCAGCTAATTTTTGTAGAGATGGGGTTTCGCCATGTTGGCCAGGCTGGTCTCGAACTTCTGATTTCAGGTGATTCACCCTCTCCTTGGCTTCCCAAAGTGCTGGAATTACAGCTGTGAGCCACTGCGCCCAGCCCCATCACACAGTCTTAAAATTAACTTTATATGAGTTTCCTCCCCACTCCCTGAACCTGATCATATCCCTAACGATGCAAAGGGAGCTGATCCAGAGTAAATACCAATTAATAGTTATTAAAACAATGAATTAAGAACATACTCCTGCTCACCTCACATTCTTGTTCCCTGGCTGAACAGGATTCACTGTCTCCTTCAGTGTCCGTCTCCGAGTCTTCTCCCAAGCTAATGACACAAGCATATGGGCAAGGTTCTTGCTGGGGTTCTGAAACATAATCATCGTTTCCAATTTCCAAATTGCTTGAACAGCCTTCAGTACTCAGAGTACTTATAAAAGGGCAGTTGACAGAACTTAACGTTGTAAAAGTCCTTTGACCTGGTTCTGGGCTCTCGCTAATCCTGATACCTAACCAGGGACACTCAGACCGTTTCTGTGAGATCTGTTCTGAGCCATCTTTGGCCACAGCAGGTGATAACTGCATTTGGCAAGGAGAGTCGGTGCTGCAAATGTCACTCCAGAAGCCTTTGGCTAGGTGTTCTGCCACTTCGCGCTCCACACTACTCCTATCACTAGATGCAACACTACTATCTTCCCTGGGGCCCAAGTCGGATTTCAAAGGTAAATCCTGACTTTCGCCAAATGTTTTTTCTTGAACATCTGTACCTGACAAAGGCTTTTCTGTTAACACTGTTGTGTTTTGCATACCAGCAAAATTCAAGTCACCATATTGGTCATATGTGTGTAAAAGAGACAGAGAATAAAGTCCATGAGGGTCTATGGAAGAATTGTGGGGGAAAGGAGTCACTTCTGATTTTTCAGTTGGACACTGAGAAGCAGGCTCTTTCTTCGTTTCTTCGGGTTCCATTGCTAATTTACTTTCGTCACATTTTAACATCACCTGCAAATCTCTACACTCCGGGACTCCTCCCAGGCATTCATTTTCCGACGTTTCATTTGGCTGAACAGAAGCATGAATGTCTTTGACACTAGATTCCCCAGTACGGACTCTGTCAGTTCCAAATGCTTTTTGGAATTTTCTGTATTTGGGGCATAAAGAAGGCAAGGCCAGAGCAGCATCCTTCTCTAAGCACATGGATTCATATGTCTGACTGGCACTGTCTTGCAGAGGAGGCGAGGCTTTTGCATTTCCTTGATACCTGCGGAGTTTACATTGAGGAGTCTGAACATTTTTATTTTCCACAAATTCCTCCACTTCATCTGTTTCTAGATCCCTCTGGTCCAAAAGTGAAAGTTTAAGATCTGTTTTCTGACAGTGTGATGAAAAGCATTTTTTTCTTGGGCATTCTTGCTGGTCTGCAGTGGAGTCCAAAAACTTAAATTTCAGAAACTGAAAGCAGGATTCCTCAATATTGTGTACACTTAAAAACTCCACACATTTGCACACTTCATCCACATTCTCTTTACTTAAAATCAGTTTAGCAGTGTAGGCAAACTGAATTAAAGGTTCAAATCCTTTAACTGTCACCTGTTGATACACAAAATAAAAAACACATCATTTGAAAGCTGTCTAGTACATAAAAATGAGATAAGTGGAAGAGAAATAGATGTGTAACTTATTTGTGATAATGATAAAATATGTACTTTAATTTAAAGAAAAAATATTCTTCTAAGAAATGGAAAAGGAAAGGATCCTGGAAAAGCATGCTTTTCACAGCGACCACACACTATTTTATAGAGTCCACTCTTAATTGCACATGAATTATGGTTTACTCACATAAGTTAAAGACATTAAGACATTACAAGTTTCCCACGACAGTGGAAAAAAAAATCATCTATGAATTAGAGCAGGATGAACACGACCTGCCACACATACATAGTGAGCCTACTGCTAGCCCAGCTCCACATGGCCACTGTATTCCAAACAACCCCAACTGCTACCAGCTGCAAAACCAGAACTTTTAAGGATATAAAACAGTACCTGTAAAGAAGTTACAAAGTCCTGATCCATGGTAAATGCATACTAACTGGTAACTATTAACTTTACTGTCCTAACAGTAAAAGTTTTAAAGATACAGATTTTTTAAAGTGATCTAGGAGAAGTTATAGAAATCATGCCTCAGTACTGTTTCAGCAAAAATTCATGGACTCAAAGTAACAAAACTTTTAAGTAGAAACCTGCACATTTACATTACACCTGCCTCTTAAAATGAGAGGCAAATGGAACCAGCTGAAGTACACAGAAAGTCCTATCCTGGGTTAAAAGTACAAAATTAATTTGAAACCACTGAGTTCTTATAAGAGTGGTCAAGATAATATTTGTGATCTTAAAAATCTAAACATGCTAAACCATGTTTAGGCTTTTTAAAGGCTCAAATAAAAAGCAATGATACCATCAAATGCTAATGAGAATGCAGAGAAACTAAATCACTCACATATTGCTAGTGGGAATGTAAAATGGTACAGACAATTTGAAATACACTTTCTTATAAAAGTAAACATGCAACCACCATATGACTCAGCAACTGCACTCCTGGTCTTTTATCCCAAAGAAATGAAAATTTATGTTCACACAAACACCAGTACACAAATGTTTACAGCAATCTTATTTGTGATAGCCAAAAACCGGAATTAGCCTGATTTCCTTCAACAGGTGAAAAGCTACACACACACACACACACACGGTACATCCATACTACGGAATACTACTCAGCAATAAAAAGGAAAAAATTTCTGATACACACAACCTGGATAATCTCACCTAAGTCAAACAACATCAATCCTAAGAGGTAATATACTGCATAATTTCATTTATATAACATTTTTAGAATGACAAAACTTTAGAAAAGGAAGAAAGGTAAGTGGTTGCTATGGATTAGGGATGGAGAAAGGGGGCAAGGGAATGAGGGCATGGAGTGTAGGCAGGAGATGTCTGTGGTTATAAAAGGACAACAAAAGGGATCTTTGTGTGTTGGCAAGTTCAGTATCTTTTTTTTTTTTGAGGTGGAATCTCGCTCTGTCACCCAGGCTAGAGTACAGTGGTGCAATCTCGGCTCACGAGTAGCTGGGATTACAGGTGCCCGCCACCACGCCTGACTAATTTTTGTATTTTTAGTAGAGACGTTTCGCCATGTTGGCCAGGCTGGTAAACTCCTGACCTCAGGTGATCTGCCTGCCTCGGACTCCCAAAGTGCTGGGATTACAGGCATGAGCCACTGCACCCAACTGAGCATCTTAACTATGGTGGTGGATACACAAACCTTCACAGGGGATAAAATTATATAGAACTTAATGCGCGAGTGCGCGCACACACACACACAGACATTATTAGTACAAGCAAAATTGTGGCAATCTGAACCCTATGGGGGACTGTATCAATATCCTGGTTGTAATACTACACTACAACTTTGCAAAATGTTATCAATGGGGGACACTGGACAAAGTGAAAAGGAACTCTGCACTGTTTCTTATATCTGTACATGAAAACATCAAGGTGATAATATTAAATGTCAACTTGACTGGATTGAAGGCTGTAAAGTCTTGTTTCTGGGTGTGTCAGTGAGGGCGTTGCTAGGGAAAATTAACATTTGAGTCAGTGGACTGGGAAAGATAACCCACCCTCAATATGGGTGGGCACCATCCAATCGGCTACCAGCAAGGCTGGAACAAAACAGAAGGAAGAAGGTGGGATAGGTGACTTGCTGACTCTTCTGACTTTCGCCTTTCTCCCCTGCTGGATGCTTCCTGCCCTTGACATCAGATGCCAGGTTCTTTGGCCTTTGGACTCTTAGACTTACATCAGTGGTTTGACGAGGGCTCTTGGGCCTTTGGCCACAGACTGAAGGCTACAGTGTTGGCTTCCCTATTTTTGAGGCTTTTGGACTCAGACTGGGCCACTACTGGCTTTCTTCCTCCTCAGCTTGCAGGTGGCCTATCGTATGACTTCACCTTGTGAACGTGTGAGCCAATTTTCCTTAATAAACGCCCCTTCATATATATATATATATATATCCTATTAGTTCTGTCCCTCTGGAGAACTCTAATACACTCAATAAAAATTTCAATTAAAATTTTTAAATTAGTTAAAATAATCTAAAAAGGTCTTTAGGACAATGAGTTATAAGGTATTTTGACACTGTCACTATAATGAAACACTTCCAATATTTGAAAACTTATGATTTACACATTAGAAAGAATGAATGAATGCACACATACATGCATGTATGCACATACCTTTCCTCCTAAATCCATGAATCAAACTTTGCTTTACTTGGAAAGTCTCATTCAATAATTTGAAAATATGAACCATAATTAATATATCTCCATTATAAAATATGTTGGTCTTTTTTTAAAACAATGGCCAGTTCACAGGTTGGCCTTTTTTACCATTTTCTTGGTATTGCACCATTGACTCTGACCTCTGCCACAAAACTGACAACCTATCTGTTCCCAAAACTGTAGCTGCAGTTTCATAGAAGTAGGCATGGACAGCAACAAGCTAAACTGTAGACTTAGTTTACAGTTTATCCAACTGTATCCAACTGGGAACATCCCACACAGACCTGTCATACACAAAGAATTTCTACATTCTTTCTCCATATTCCTCCTAACTTCTATCTGTGTCCCAATGCCACAGCTTTGATACTCTGCTAATAGCAGTTACTAACTAAATAAAGCAAGGGATGCTGCTAAGAGTCAGCATAGCCAGCACATCCCCACCCAAACGAGAGTTCCTCTTAAAGGCAGGACATTAACAAGGACCCAAACATTTGTTAGCCTGAGCTCCAAAACAGACCAGGGAAAAAGATATATGTAAAAATAAGGCTCTATAAAAATGACATAACACTGTTTATTTTTTCTAATCAATACATAAAGACAAAGTCAAGAAAGAAAGAAGGGGAGACAGAACACTTATGGAATGCCTGAAAATAGGAGATGTCTTGGGAAAACGGACGTTTTATACAACCCTAAACATAGTGATATGGTTTGGCTGTGTCCCCACCCAAATCTAATCTTGAATTGTAGTTCCCACAATTCCCATGTCATGGGAGGGATCCAATGGGAGTTCACTGAATCACGGAGGCTGGTCATTCCCATGCTATTCTCGTAATAGTGAGTAAGTCTCACGAGATGTGATGGTTTTATAAGCGGGAGCTTCACTGCACAAGTTCTCTCTTGCCCACCACCATGTAAGTTCCTTTGCTTTTCCTTCGTCTTCCACCATGATTGTGAGGCCTCCTCAGCCATGTGCAACTGTGAGTCAATTAAACTTCTTTCCTTTAAAAAGTACCCAGTTTTCAGGTATGTCTTTACTAGCGCCATGAAAACAGACTAACGCACCTAGCTACAGTTGCTGATCACTGGAAAGGGCCTCTAGAAGACAACGTCACACAGCATGGACTCTCAAAACCATGACTTTTCCAACTGCCTATAATCCACTGGGTGTGTCCTGATTTGGTCATTTCATCAAAAATAACATAACAGTGGGTGTTATGTTATATCCAACTGCTCAATACTGTTAACCAACATTCAAAATTAATGATTTTACATTAAAAAAAAAAAAAACTCCATAGTTTTGGAAATGCTCCATAGCCACCTGACAAGGAGACTGTGCTTTACTTTTAACATTATGAACCATAAAAAACTTAAAAGTAAATTAAAATTGCCAGAAACATGGATCTCTCACCTCTTCTGGAAGAGTAATGTTCAGCTCTCCATCAGCCTGGCCTACAATTCTCGAGTGGAAGTAACTGCTGCATGCCGCCAGCACGGACCGGTGAGCGCGGAACCGCTGACCCTCCACAAAGATGGTGACATCGCATAGCACGTCTTTCTTCCGCTGGTCATTAAGGCTGAGCAAAACATTGGTGCTATGCACAGAAGATTCATAGGCAAAAACCGAGTTCTCACTCAGAGACATTCTGCGTAACAGGTGTTGTCGGGAAGTTCAGGGGAAAGCATGCTTCTAATTGTCATCAACCTGCAAACACACATGTAAGATTTCACTTAAATAACATCTTGTTAAAAAATCAGTATCAAATATAGATTAAAATATACACTCATTAAAACAAAAATGAAAATAAAAAACCTCCAGAGGAACAACCTAGAGGAATTTTCAATATACTTCATTTAAAATAGGTTCTTGATAGCAGTTTTCCTAATTTTAGGGAAAAGGTTCTTGGGGTGAGGGAAGGACGAACTTTTTGAACCAAGGATTTCATGGCTCTCTGAAAGTGAGACATTACACACTGAGAAACCACCCACTACGAGCAAACAGATGGGAGCAGGGAATTTCTGGTAGCATCCCAATACTATTGTTTTGAGACAGTTGAGAGACAGAGAGGGGAGGAAAGACAGCCAGAGAGGTGAGAAGAAGGGTCCCCGGAGGTCACACTTTGGGATAAGACTGATAGTAAAACAGGCATGTGCTGTTCCACATTCTCCATGCCCCATTCCTCAACATCTGATAAAACAGGCATGTGCTGTTCCACATTCTCCATGCCCCATTCCTCAACATCCAATAGACGGCAAGTGAATTTAGTGCTTTATAACAAAGGACACTGTTCTACAAAGGTAAAGATCCTCCAACACAAAGAAGAAAATGACTGAAATGTGTCAGGCCAGATCTTGGTAATAAGTCTTTTTATACAGTAAGATTTACTTCACATTACAAATACAGGTAGGTAAAACTACCTCATTAATAACATGCAAAAACTAGGTTTTCTCAAAATGCTAAAAATAAGAAAGTTATAATTTTAAATTTTTAAAAATACATACTAACATGTAATAGTCTCCAAATATTTTTTCATCACATACACGCTATTGGCAAAAACAAGAGTACCCCCAATACCTGTATGCTTATCTATATTTTTCAGACACGTGCTACTATTCTGATATATATGTTCTGAGAAACACAGAAGTTCAAAGTAAGAAGTTAAAAGAGAAGTTCTAATATTTTCTTCCAGCACCCTAAGGCCAGAAGGGATGATACTGTGAGAAGCTTATTGGCCTTTATCCGTGTGATGCCTCATGGTATCATCCCTGCGTCATTCACTTCTGTTCTCCTGACACCTTACTGCCTGAAACATGGGAAGCCCTCAAATGGTCAGTGAATGAGTAAATGGTACTGCTTTCAGATTTGCTACACACTCCAAACAAAAATGAAAGGAGAAATAAGGACTACTGAAGTTCAGTCCCAAGGTTAAGGATCACAACTTATTTACTGATTCAGCATACCACACGAAATCACTGGTAACTTCAAAAATGAACACTAGAACTAACTCCAGTTTTGGCCCATAAAAGAGTATAAATTTATTTTTAGCAATTAGTCTTAATACTTCAGTTATCAAAACAAGGAATTAGTGTAAAGAATAATAGGGAAAACCATCAATCAAAGAAGTTTTTGTGGGTGGCACCACACACAGACCACTGCCCTCTTCATTCTTCAAGACTATACCCTACCCAGAGCACACTGCCCTCCCAACCAAGCCGGACTCCATGGCTGACCACCTGCCCTACTATGGCCCTGTACCCAAGCTCCCAGCCTCCTTATTCTTTCCTGGCATCTCGGATGCACACCCTTAAAAACTATACTAATCTTACTTTTGTAGCTCGTCATTCTTTTGAACACAGCACTGCCAGAAAACACTGTAGAAACACGCAGACTGGTGTCACTATAAATTTACAATGTGCAGTCTCAGGCTCTCGGTACTGTTTACCAGTTTTTTGGTATGTCCCTGTCTCCTGTTCTCTGTAACAGCTTTCCACCTTGCCACGTTTCTCCTCCTGGTATCAGCATCTCTCCCAGTAAATCACCATAACTGGGACCCAACCTCAGAAAAAACAGTCCTCCCACTACCTCCACCAGGTTCCCTCTTCGGTTGAAAACAATCTGTAACGTATTCTCTTAATCCCATGCCATCCCTGCTTCTCTGGGATCCAATACCTTCTCTTAACACCCTGTCTCATATATATGCAACCTCTCCCTCTATGCTGGCTCCTTCCCATAGCGTTTGTTAATGAACGCGTTTAAGTCTCTCCAGAGACTATCCTAAAGATGTCAACTATCAATGGCAAGATTATTAAGCTCTAATTCTTCACCAGGCACTGAGCTAAGAGCTAGAGTTTCTCTCATTTATGCCTCAAAACAGCCCTGTGATGCTCCTCTATCATCCCAATTTTACAGATGTGGAAACCAAGGCTTAGTGAGAAGTATCTTGGCCAACATCAAAAGACCAGTAAGACAAAAAAGGGGAATTGCCACCAGACATTTTTAACTACTCCATCATTCTGTCTCCAGTTAGTACTCGCTGAACGCACAGTATGGAGATTCACTGCAGTAATGTGGGGACCCAGATATTACTAAAAGGTTATGCTTGAGAATAAGGAAATGGACTGCACAGACAACAAGAAAAAAAAAATTGGACCTGTGCTTCAGAAAGAGAATGACTACGGGCCTTAGACACTGAAATCTAAAGCTTCTTTGGATCTCAAGGTGACTCCACACAAATAATTCCTACACCTTTACCCTAGAGCTGCTAGTAGCCCAACTACACACATCTGTGGCCCACTGCTTCTCACCCTGCCACCAGCTGGCTATTCACCTCAAATTCCAGAGAATTCTTTGCTCAGCATCTGTTTAGGCAGTTTTCAGTAACACATCATTTCATGGGTTCAGAGCGAGCTTACAGATTTGCCACCCCTGGGCGAGATGCCAATCCCAAGTCCTACCAGCTGCAGCTGAGAGAAACTAGAGATTCAGATAGTAAAACAGCCATCCAGGAGGACCCCTCTAAGAAGGATCAGTCTCCCTTAAAGTGGATTGAGCACAGCATGCACGATGACTGATGCTGTTCACACAAGAAATCTGGAACTCATTCCTCATTCCTTCCTCAGCTGGACACCTCTATTCAATCTCTTACTGAGTCCTGCTGCCTCTGCCTCTTCACACTGAGGTCCACCTCTCTCCATCTGCATCAGCACAATTCTAATCCAAGCCATCATCAGCTCCTGCCTGGAAAAATGCTGTTTAACCTGTAACAGCTCACAAGCTCACAAATGTGCAAGTTTAGTTATATAAAATAAAGTTTCACATAATAATATTTATGCTTATTACACGCAAGTAGTCTCATACTTTCTACTCCATTCAAATTTTTTTTTAAATCCCAGTTGTGATCCACTCAATTTCAAGACCCACTAATGGCCCATCACCTACGCACTGACAAATAGAGGCCCGGTGGCAAACAGGATTTAGAGTCTCAGAATTTACAATCTTACACTGTCTCGATTCAAATCCCAGCTCTGCCACTTACTAGCTATATGACCTTGGCCAAGTTGCTTAACCTCACTGTCTTGGTTCCCTCATCTACAAAGTAGAGAAAACACCACCTCACTGAGATGTTCTGAAGTTTACATGAGATGAGGAGGGAAAAGAGTTCACAGCACAGTGCTTGGTCTACAGCAACAAATAATATTAGCTGCTATTAGTGGTGATAATATTAACAAAAGCCTTATACCCCTAAAGCCCTTCTTGATCCCCTCCAATGTATTCTCTTCATAACAAAAACTCTGTATCACCTTTCAAATAAATGGCTTATGATCACTTCAAAATCCTTAACATGTCCTCAAGTCCTATGTAGTTGGGTTTTCCATCCACTAATCCAGACTTATCTCAAGCCGTTGCCCCCCTCTCTTGCTATTCTCTAGCCTGTCTCCACCTTCCTGCTCCACAGGCCCCAAGCTCCTACTGATTTCAGGGCCTTCACACACACTGTGCCCACTATCTGGACTTCTACTCTTTAGCCAGCTAACGCCTCACCTTTTAGTTCTCTGTTTAAATGTCACAACTTTGTCTGATTTGTTCTCTGCCATAACCCAAGCATACCTGTTGGACCTGGTCCAACAGAGGTACATGCTGCTGAATGAATAATTTCTTATTTTTAATACAGAAACAAAACAGAGATTATCTAGATCAGCAGTCTCCAACTTTTTGGCACCAGCGATGGGTTTCATGGAAGACAATTTTTCCCCAGATGGGTGGTGCAATGGTTTTAGGATGAAACTGTTTCAGACCATCAGGCATTAGAGTCTCACAAAGACTGTGCAACCTATATCCCTCACATGCACAGTTCACCACAGGGTTCACACTCCTATGAGAACTTAATGCTACTGCTGATCTGACAGGAGGCGGAGCTCAGGCAATAATGCTCACTGGGCAGCCACTCACTTCCTGCTGTGCAACCCAGAGGTTGGGGACCCCAATCTAGATCTTCTTCCAAACACAGCCCAGTCACCACCTATTCCAACATATGTGGAACAATGCCACTGAGCCAAGTATTCAGAGAAAATTTCTTGGACAGCTTTTCCAGAGCCTTGAGGGGCAAAAAAGAGGCCAGCTCATCCCTCTGGAAGTCAAAAACATACCTGCCACGACAGGCCAAAAAAGTGCAAAGATTGGCAACTATAAACATGGCCAATACAGACGACCTACAGTAATGAAAACACCTTGCCCTTTGCTTTCATTAGCATGAGGCACTACAGAAGAGTGTTCTGAAAATCATTTCTCCTAACCCTGGAAACCATCTAAGTGGTCAGCAATCCATTTTTACCCAATAACTTAACTATGTAACAACTACATCAGACAAGAACGGCACATTCACGTCCTCTAACATCCATCATGCACTTTCTAACATTTCTCAAATCTAAAAAGTAAAACACTCCAGCCTTCCAGAATCTAACATTCTATTAACTTATTAATGCTAAATTTAGATTCCTGTTATGCCTGCATTTTTCTATATTCTTAGAAATAATACCATTGTTATCATTCAAAATAAAAGTTTGATGACCTTTGGAAGTTGCCAATTCATTCACTAGTGCTGATAAATGATGAATAAGCATTTTAAAGCTTCCTACACCTCAATTTGGAAATAACTTCTGCTCTCTGCTGAATGCACATAATTTAAGTTTTGATAGTTACTACTTGACATTTTTGCTTACAAAATCATACAGGAAACAAGATGCTGTGGCTTTATCAAATTATATAATTTTAAAGATAATTTATTTAAAGGAAAAAAAACTTTTAAAAACCTAAGGTGAACACCTGATCATGAAACCAGGTCTACAATAGTTCATGTAACAGAAAGTCAGAAGATAACTTTCTATAAAGTTCCGTGTGTGCAAAAGAGCTGGAATTTTATCTACCTCAAGTCAATGGACTATGTTGTGTTTTAATTCTCAATGTAGAAGGGTACAATAAATAACACTGCAAACTTTTTTTTTTTTAAAAAAGGCTACCACACTTTATCTTCATTGAACAATGACAAATGTTCTTCCTACAAGTGTTAGCTGTGCCACATGATACACTAAGTGCCATGAAAACACAAATAAAAGACTCCCTTCAAGAATATAACCTAGATATGTTCAAAATGAGAACGACGCCTCTAGGTAAAAAAGATAATAATAATCATTATAATCAATTTACACAGGAGTGTGGATATCTGGAAAGGTATTTATTTGAAGTAAATCTTCAAACAAAAACTACTTTCCTGGTCAGTTTTCATTTAACCATAATATTCAATTAATGATAACAATTATTTCACAAACAGTTCTCTGTTAGTCAAGGTGTGTGTGTGTGTGTGTGTGGCCGGCCACAAGTGGTGGCCAGTGGACATCAGGAACAGTGCATATGGGCAAGTTCCAGCCTTTTTATAAAAGCAGTGCCGTGACCTGCAGCCCAGTCCATTCCTCAAAACCTGCCTTCTCCCATTTCTAGTGGCTGTTGGGAATTTCCACCTTTGAAAATTCTGCCTAACATCACCTTCATCAACCTGTCAATTATTTTCACCTCACTCAATTTCAGGGCAGGATCTTCAATGACTCAGAAGACAGGCAAATTCCTCTTACTATGACATCTTTCCTAGCTCCCTAAGCCCAAGCTTCAAAATCCCCTAAGCCAGTCAGTTTCTGTTACAATATACCTAAGATACCCAAAGTCTGAGTGTTCTTCTGAAATTAGGTGAACCTTATATTCAGTGTTTCAAGTGGATGGCAAAGATCCAACAGTATCCTGTGTCTATACCTTTGACTCTCCTTTAAGGGTCTTTATTTTTAAAATGATTTTAAATTTAAGGTGGATATTTCCATAAGAAAAATTCTTTCTAAAGACATGGCTCTTCATCATTCTATAATTCTGAAAAAAACTTAACATCAAAAAGTCTGTGGAAACTTAATTCAGGACAGTGATTTAAGACAACATTCTTCCCAAAGTCCCAAGACCCGACTCGCCTGCCAGGAGCGCCTGGAAGAGTAACTCCGTGACCAAGTTGTTATTTTCTTTAACCGTTTACAGGCTTAAATATCATAACTGCTTAAACATCTGTGATTTGATAATCACATTTTCTAAAGTTATTTCTCTCAGCCTTAGGAAAAGCCTTAAGTATTATTGGATAAGGTACACCGACAAATATATTTTGAAAAGGCTGAATGAAAATGGGAAACAAAAAAAAGTTTGAACTAAGGTAAGTAGCAGAGGAGCTTATAGCAACACCAAAAATGACGACATTGTTAGACGAGTAAATAACCTGGCAATTTACATTAGAACTGTTACGTAACTAAAGATGCCACTGCTTTTTAAAAAATGGGGTGGGAGGCAATCACTACAATTATTGCAGCTCATGATTATTACAACATCATGTGAGGTCCCATACAGGCAATATTTTTCATTGACTTTTCCTAATATTAAAAACCATATAGTTAAGTCATGGACCTTTTGTTATAGTTGCTGGATCTAAACCCATATTTGAAATTATGAAACTAAGGTTAAGCTTAGAGGAGAGGAGTCTGAACTGTTAGAGAAGTTTGAAAAACTACTTCAGAGATCAAAAATAAATGGTGTTTTACTTCCCAAACGAACAAATCCAACTTTGATAATTCTGGGTCATAAGTTTAGAAGAGCTTGGAAGTAAACACAGGAACAAAGATGAGAAGGAACATAGGAAATCCAAGCTCCAGAACCAAAACAAGACTAACAGATTCCACTGTTATACCTTTTTACTACAAAGAATTTAAGAAACAATGAAGTCTTTTATTTGCTTAACATATTTGGCTGCTACTTGATTCTGAATAGGATTGTTATCTGTTATGAAAATGTGAACTAGTAACTAGAATTGGTCCACATCAATAAAGCTTATTCACTGAATACATATTTTCTGTCATGCATTTGTCAGTCACTATTTGTGAAGCAACTTTGGGGTATGATTTAATATAGAATAAGCCATATCTATTTAAAGCATACAATACAATGACCTTTAACAACTGTATATGTGCATAAAACCACCACCACCACTCCAACCAAGACAAAGAAATTTCCATCAGTCCTCAAAATTTCACACACCCCTTCCACCAAGGGCAGTGACATGTGCCCTTCCCTGTGCTAGATTCCAGGTAACCAATAGTTTGCTTTAGTGTCACTATGGATTAATGAGCATTTTCTTTTTATATAAATGGAATCACACATTATGTACTCTTCGGGTTTCTTTCACTTAATGATTCTGAGGTTCATTCATGTTGTTGCATACCTCAGATGTTCCTTTATATTACAGAATAACACTCCATTACATGGATATGCCACAATTTGTTTATCCATTTGACTCTGATGGACTGCTGTAATAAAGACGTACCCTTGCATTGTTCTCAATTTGGGATTATTGCAATAAAGCTTTGATGAACATTTGCATGGACATATATTTCGTGTTTGATTTTTCTTGGGTAAACAACTAGGAGTAAAAGAGCTGAGTCATATTACAGGCACATGTCTAACTTTTTAGAAATTGCTGAATAGTTTTCCAAAATGACTGTATCATTTCATCTTGCTACCAGCAGTGTATGACAATTCCAATGTATGGCAATTAATGAGAATGCGCTACATAAGACGTGTCCATCCCTTTGAATGTGAGGACTGTTTTGCTTCATCTGTGGTGGTAGATAGCATGAAAATCATGCATGGACTTTTTTTTTTTCTTCTTTGTAGCTCGTCAGCTATCGTTGTTAGTGTATTTTATCTGTGGCCCAAGACAATTCTTCCAATGCAGCCCAAGGAAGCCAAAAGGTTGGACAGCCATGTTCTACATTCTCATTAACCCTTGGTATTGTCATCTTTTTAATCCTGCCTATCCTAATATGTATGGTGGTATCTCACTGTGGTTTTACTTTGCATTTCTTGATCAGTAATGGACGTTGAGCCTCTTTACATGTGCTTATTAGCCACTTGTATATCTCCTTTTGTGAAATGTCTAATTCTTCTGGGCTTTTTAATTCTTATCAAATTCTACCGTAAGAGCTAGTTGAATTCTGATTAGGACTGCAGTGAAAATATAGATCAATTTGGGGAGAACCAACATCTAAAAAACTGAGTCCTCCAGTATATAAATAGGGCATCTATCTTCATTTACGTAGGCATTCTTTATCTCAGCATTATTATGATCTTTTTATTAAAGAGGGCTTGTGAAGCTTTTGCTAAATTTATTCCTCAGCATTTAATGTTTATAGTTACTGCAAATAGAGTTGGGTTTTTTAACTTCATTTTTTTTTTTTTGGCTGCTATTGTGTAAAAACAAAATTATCATTTTAAATATCAACTGTGAATTCTGCAACCTTACTTAATTTGCTTACCAGTTCAGATAGCTGCTTTGTGGATTCCATAGGATTTTCTAGGCACACAGTCATGTAATCTGCAAACACAGACAATTTTACTTCTTTCCCACCTTTATGCTTATTTCTTTTTCTTCCCTTATTGCAATGACTGAATAGTGAGAGTGGTGACAGTGGGTATCCTCATCTCATTCCCATATAAGGAAAGTGTTAAGTATTTCACCACTAAATATGATGTTAACTGTAGATTTTCTAAGATGAGCAACTAATGGGCAGAGAGGCGGGTGCAATTGTTACTATCCCACTTAAGGCTCCCACAAGAAAGAGGGGAGGGGAAAAAAGCAAAGAATGAAAATTCCCCCAACGCATAAAATTTCCCAACTCAGCCTCCTCCAAGGTTTGTCTACACCAGTTTCTAAATACTTACACCTCAGATACCCCTAAAATCCCACAATCATAGGCTGAAGATAAAGAGAGAGTTGTTATCAGGGAGCACAAGTAAGGACATAAAGACTTTTCCAGAAACTGTCAAACGGCAGCTAGCTGCTCTAGGGATACCTATGGGTGGGACAGCACAAAATATTAACAGCACTTTATAACTTGAGGACTCCACTGTTAGTTGAGCATGTCACTTTACATCTCTGTGACAATTTTTTTTTTCTGGCAATCTAGGAACAAGAATAGTACTTTTGGGGGAGATCCAAATGAAATAATATATTTAATCTTCTTAGGACAATGTCTGGCACATAATGAGTGCTTAATAATCATCAGCTATTATTTGAATTTGATGCTAGAAATGTTTTTTGAGTAGCACAGGGCAGCACTGAAACTGTAGGGAAAGAAATACAAGACTCCACTACTCAGCTCAGTGCCCAGTATTGACACAGCATTGCTATAACACAAACAAAACTGGCTAACTGGTTTTCAACTTTTAGAATAGACAAATAATGGGAGACTTAATTGTAACTATAGCATAGAATGTAAATACTATTAACCTTGACAAAATAAAACAGGCTGGGAGACAGAATCAGGGAGAATGGGAAGAGTATTTCCATACAACTTACAATGTGCAAAGTCAAAAGGCACTGCCTTCAATTAATGAGACAAGAAAAAGAAATAGAAAAAAAATGTCTAGAGCTGGAGTTGCAGAGGTGATCAAGAGTAGAAGTGGAATTAATAATAAGATTACAAATACACGTGGGGGGATAGTAAAGGAAATCATCGTCCACAGTAAGTCAACAGATAATGTCTTAGGTTGATAAAATGAGATATAAACATCTTAGACAGAGGTATCCACCAAAAAAATTAAATAGCAGAAATCAGTAAACATTGCACATAACTCTGAAGCAGAATTAGGGGGTGAGGTGTAGCAGATAAGGTTGTTCTCTGTACCAAAAAAAAAAAAAAAAAAAAAACCAAGAACATGTATTACTTTGACTAAAAACAAACTTAAAATGTTTAAATAGTAAACAAAAGTAGCAAAACTTAGTTAAATGTAAATTGTTGATAACTTGGTTGCAAGTATTAGTGTAACTTTTTAGGAGTCTTCAAGTAGAAAAGGCATTTGAGAGAGAAAATTTTGAACTGAAATGATTTTAACAGAACTAAGAGATGGAAAGAAAAAAAATACAGAAAGACATCTTGTTTGGGTACGATGTTATACATACTATTTAATACTGGCAAATACTAATTTAAATCAGTTAAAAATTTAAGGGTATCCTCCAGAAAAATGAGCTGTTGAACCGCCAAATCACTAAAGCACCGGTTCTCCGCCTTACAGAATCTGATGAAATCTATTGAACTTCCACCAGAAAACTAAGCAAATAATAAAATTTTGCATTTGCCTTTAATGGAACTGATGAATAGTGGATCCTCTCTTAAAATTTATTGACCCTCCTTATACCCCTTGATCTGTAATTCTTTACTATCCTGTACTGAATTTCCAAAAGGAACCATTTATACTCACACTCTCTTCCCAATTTCATTTGAGCCCGCTCAAACAAGCCTTTGCCCTCCACTCCATAGAAACAATTTAGTGAAGCTCAACAGCTTCCACATCACCAAATGGCAAATGTTCAGTCTTCTTACACAGCATCTCAGCAATATTTAACAGGTTGATCATTCCTTTCCTGAAACCTTGTCTTCACTTGGCTTCCAGGATCCTCTAGTTTCTTCTTTGCACACACTCTCTAGGTGAACACATCTGGACCCACAGTGGAGACATGATTACTGCACAGACTTGCTGAACACTCTCATATTCGTATCTGGTCCAATGTTGAGTTCTCTGTTGAATTTCATACTCATACAGCCAACTGCACACTCAAATTACTACCTGTATGTCTAACAGGCATCACAAATTCAGTAGGTCCAGAAATCTTGGTTGCCACCCTCATCACCATGCCTTGTTATGATATTTATTAAAATATTAGCATGGTAAGATCTAGCTAATTTTTATTTTTTTTGTTTCTGCATTCAAATTCTTAACTATAAATACATATTACTTCATAATCAGAAAAATGCTGGAATAAATAACTATAAACAAACAAAAAATGTGCCCTGGTTAAAAAAATAGTTCACATTTATTTTGACTGAAATCTCCCAAAGATTGCCGATTATGTTTTCCCCCTTTAGAGCAGATATTTCCTACAGACAATTGGTTTGTCACTACATGGTAAGGCTCTAAACTTAACAGATTCTTCACAATAAATTACTAAAGAATAAATTAAATTTTATAGAAACCTAAAATAAAAAGAAGACTTGGTGTTTAAAAAAAAAATGAGAGAACCCTGCTATAGGAAAATGAGGAGGAAAGACCCATCAAGGCAAGTCTAGCCACGTGAACCAGGGCAAATGCGCATGTGTGAAACTGAACAGATAGCCTAAGTAGGTAGCTCCCACCCTATCTGTCTCACGAAGCTCTTTGAAAAATATGAAGTGTTGAACACACAGAATTATTAAGGACAACAGGAAATCAAGGTTTAGGTTATTTTAAGGCTACCAGCAGCCCTGAATAATCAGATTAACGCTCTACTGGTATCATCAACTGTGTGGTCTTCCGTAAATTACCTGGCTTAACACTTCCTATAATAAAAATTCAGTTAAGCTTAATAAGTATCTCAAGATAAAATGAAAATATTAAAATTGCACAAGTCTGCCCAAAATAACTGCTAATTTCACAGACCTAAAGAATTTCCAATTAAAAGAGCACATTCATCCAGGATGACCCGCTTCTGTTACAGATAAGGAAACTACAGCCTTGACAAGGGCAATAATTTAAAGATTGAAAAGCTCTCTGCTCCCAAGTCCAAATATTACATTTCAATTCATGTTACACAACTCAAGTGGTATGTAGGGGAGGAATAGGTAAAACTGAGGAGGGATGGAAGAACAAGGAGTACAAGACATACCCCAAGTATCCTGTGTGTGATGAGAACGAACGCTATTAGACAAACAGATTAAATGGACATTTGTGGAACAACAAATTTCCCCTTATTAATCAGTATTTGGTGGCTTTTTTTTTTTTTTTGAGACAGAGTCTCACTCTGTTCACCCAGGCTGGAGTCCAGTGGTGCAATCTTGGCTCACTGCAATCCCTGCCTCCCAGGTTCAAGTGATTCTCATGCCTCAGCCTCCCAAAGAGCTGGGATTACAGGCGAGCACTACCACACCACCACACCCAGATAATTTTTTTATTTTTAGTAGACAGGATTTCACTATGTTGGCCAGGCTGGTCTCGAACTCCTGACCTCAGGTGATCTGCCCGCCTCGCCCTCCCAAACTGCTGGGATTACAGGCGTGAGCCACCACATCAGGGTCTGGTGAATTAATTTCTAAATAACACTCACTAGATTATATAACCAATCTCATGCATCACTGAAAGGAACCTGACACTAAACTGTGCTCAACCTAAATCATCAAGGTCTATAGTTATACAAATTACATATGGAAAACTAGAAGAAAAGAACGCTAGAAAGTATTTCACTATGAGTTACTTTCAATATAGAGGATTAAGCATCCATGTACTATTTTCATAATGAAATAAAGATTCTTCAGATGCCATCTTGTTTTCAAACTGTAAAAATTATAACCATAATTCGTATTATTTAGGAGGTGAAAGCCCTAAAACTAGTTGATGGCCAAAATGACCCCCTATAGGTTTAAGAGTTGACACACACAGTATGCACAGTAACTGAAAAGACAAAATAAACAAAAAAAGTGCTCTTCAAATTCCTAATTATACACCAACTCACAATAAAAATGAGTCAAAAAGGGGGCTGGGGGGAGGTGCTTAAGAGTATAAAAAGAATGTTAACAATTTTAATTAAATAAAGCAGAAGTTACCATACAGCAATCGTTATATCACATGAATCACAAATCTGAAACTGTTTTATTCAAGTAGAGATACTAAATTGAAATGCCTTATTTAAAAACAACCAAATCCAATAATCCCTAACAGCCACCATAGGGCCACAGTTTCTCAATATACATAGCTAAAACTAAAAACGTAAGTCTATTTTTCACTATTTAACTTGAGAGTCAAAATAATTATTTCTAAAATGAAGATTTCCAAGCTACAGATTTTGCACCAGTGATCTCAGTAACTACTTTTCATTATATGATAACCACAAGATTCAGCCAAATAAGGAACAATATGTGGCCTATAAATAAAGCTGAAATATATCTCAGTTTAAATAGCATTTAAGGAACTACTAAGTAGGTAAATACTACTGCATTTATCTGAGACAAAAATTACATTGGTAGTATAAGTCTTTCTAAATTCTATCCAAAAAAATAATACCAGTTCAGAAGCCTATTCTGGCCATTTATCACAGTCTATTTGTTACTCTCAAAAAGAAACAACCATTGAGCAATTACTTTGCATTTTGTAAATTTACAACACTCAAGTGTTTAGGATTTACATTATTTGTCTGCCTGTGTTTCACAGCACAGGAAGCACCCAAACCTGGGATTGAGAAGGAACAAGAATGAAATATAAAAGTGCTTTTACACAGTGACCATACTTGTAACAACACACACAGGTGTCCCCCTTATCTACAGGGGATACATTCCAAGAACCCCAGTGGATACCTGAAACTGCAGATAGTAACGAACCCTATATATACTATGCTTTTTCATCAAGTACAATAAGAGATTAATAATAATAAAACACAACTATAACCATATACTGTAATAAAAGTTATGTGAATGTGATGTTTCTCAAAATATCTACTGCATTTAGTATTTTTGGACTTCATTTGACCACGGGTAACAAACTGCTGAAAGTGAAACAGTGGGTGAGAAGCCTACTGTATATCAAAATTGCTAAGAGAGTAGATTTAAAGGTTCTCACCACACACACACACAAAGGTAAGTGAAGTAATGGACATGTTAATTAGCTTGATTTAATCTTTCTACAATGTACACATACAGCAAAACAGAAAAGTTAGGAGTACTACAAGAATACTGTATAAACTTAAGGTGGCATTAATTTTGAAGTCTGAAAAGAATGACTAATAAGCTAACCACGGTACAGCTTTCCCTTCGAGGAGTGGAATGAGTGTGTAGAGAAGGGAAGATGTTCCTGTTTGTACTCCTGATTCAAGAATTTGGGTTCTAAAGAATCCTGACCCATCTAGCCAATGAATTAACCGTTCTATCTGAGCCAGGTTGGCCTCAGCACTCGGTGCAAGCCATATAGACCACAGGTGGGTGTGCACTATCGACTGAGGGACAGAGTAGTCCTCTTGGTATACACATAATCAGAAACTACCAGATATAATTATATGTTCTCCTCTCCCTGAAAGGAATAAGACAATGGCAGGGAACTTTTGAAATGTTTAAAGTACTGAAAAAAATTTCTTTCTTTTATATATATTTATTGGCAAAATTGGCATTTTCAATTTTTAAATAATTTTTAAATAAACCATTGATTTGATTTGATTGTAAAAGTGCTACTTGATCATAGAAGGAAATGGCATATAAAAGGAAAAAAAGTCACCTAAAATTCCACATCCAAAGACAAGCATATTTTATTTTTCTCCTCAGAAGTTTGTATCTATGTGTAGTGGTGGCTAGTAGACAAGGATGTCACCGTTAACTGCACAATACCATTCACCCCCTCACTTTCTAACCAAACCCTGATTGTGCTCACATATCTCTCTCAACCAGAGGCCATCAACTTCCCAGTAAGCAGACCCCAGTCACAACCTAAGATGAATCACAATCCATTTATGCCAATCACAGCTGTGCTATTCCCCTTGACCTTGACTCATTTAGGCACTGGCTGGTGTGCAATGATGACCTACGAAGAGAGGAGAGAGGGATAGGGTAGCATCTACT